GTGTATATGTTGTAGTTCAGGTTCAATATGATTTTGAACCAGTTCAATTTCTTCTGAACTGGTTCAGTTTATTTTGAGCCAGTCCAATATAACTCAATCCAGTACAAATCAGTTTAGGGTTAGGTTTAGGGTTAGGTTTTAAGGGTTGGGAATAGGGTTGAGCCAGCATTATATAAAAATTTTCTTCATTAATAAATTGCAATTAAGATAAAAACAATTTGCAAGCATTACTACCAACAAAATCCTTGATGGTATAATTGGTATTACTGCGGACTATGAAGCAAGAGGGAACCAGCAAGAGTTCAGTGGTTCAAACCCTCGATGAAGGTATAAAGTGTTATTCATAAATTACAAATATAGAAAATATCAATATTTCTGTGGGGTATAGGATAAGATAAAGTAGCAAATTGTGGAAGGTAGAAAATAAGATGATAGATAGAAAATGGGAGAGAATGAGATGGGATATAGTTCTTTTAGTTCTTTTAAGAATGCAAAAGCAAAAAAAAGACCAGTACAAGAAGTCTTGTACTGGAAAAAATTAGATTAAAATGGTTCAAAAATATATTGAACCTGAACTACAACATATCCACAAGATGTTTTACAAACTATATTAGGCACACGAGTGTGAAATCCTTTCATGACATTCTATACTCAATAATACTATACTCACATTGTAAAGTTAGATATACTGTTGTACTAGCAGTAGGACATTCACCTCCATTACTGACAATATCCCTGTACATTCTATATACTCAATAATACTATACTCACATTGTACAGTTAGATATAGTACTGTTGTACATTCAGTAACTACAGTTGTAGGACATTCATCTCCATAACTGACAGTAACCCTGTACATTCTATACTCATTAATACTGTACTCACATTTTACAGTTAGATATACTGTTGTACTAGCAGTAGGACATTGATCTCCATTACTAACAGTAACCCTGTACATTCTATACTCAATAATACTATACTCACATTGTACAGTTAGATATACTGTTCTACTAGCAATAGGACATTCATCTCCATTACTGACAGTAGCCCTGTACATCCCAGCATCACTTCTGCTGACAGAGGATATGTTGTATGTTTTGGTAGATGAGACAATGGTGTTTTCATTGTTTTTAACCCATGAAGTGTTCAAATGTTGACTGCCACTAGCATCACAGGACCAAGACAATGCATCTTTTTCAGTGAGTGTTTGGTTTTTACACACAGTAATGGTCGGAGGAGCTTGAAAAATAATTTAAAAGCATTAAAAGGTTAAAATTTTGAGATTTAGGATTTTCGATCTTTCAATACGCTTTGATTCTTA